TGTATGTATGGATCATTGGGTTGTTACCGACATCTGGTGAAAATTTCATGTCATTAGTACCTCTAGTAATATATTTACTGAGAAAAATGCTGACGTGTTCAATACTTATTTTATCCGCTGTATGTGTTGTTAACGACAAGAATTAAACAAAGTGCTTAACCACCATGTGGGTGCACCAGTTTTCTGCTTTTTTCCCACATGATTCATAAACACAGTGAAATCACCACAAGTGTGAAATAATCTGAAGTGCAAATAGTATCATATCCCTTCCTTGGCACAGTCAGATTTTCTTGCCTCACTTTGTGGTTCATTTAAAAAGGGAAGTTCTGGAAACTATTGTGACACACAACTTCACTTTTTAGAACACAGGGAGGTTGAAATGACATTTAGGAAGAAAAAATAGCTCTTGTTTGCTCAAATTTGAGGGTTTTGTACAAAACTGTTTTGCAATTGACTTTACAAAACAAGTGTTTTGCCATTTCCCATGTAAAAACTATATTTTGAACCACAATAACTAAAAGAGGAGCCCAACGTCTTGACCATAGTCTAAAACAAAACATTCTCTTTCTACCAGACTGATTTAGATCCACTACCACCAGTGACACCAGACTGTTTGAGGGCTGATGTGAGGTTACCAGCTCCTCTGACTCCTAGATGTGATGAATATGCAGCTGCTGGAAACTGGAGCCAAGCCTTTTTATATCCACCCAGTATGTATGAACATCTGCCTGGTACCAATTCACTCAGCTTCACCAGACCTAATACACAATAAACTGGTCTACGGCCCACATTAAAGCAAAAACCATTAAACCTTTGAGATTTCTTTCGTATGTCTGTAGTAATAAATTTTCCCTTTTCACTTAATCTTGTCCTTTGACACAGCAATCCATTACAWTTTAAAAAAAGTCACTGATGATGCAGAAATTAGGAAACTAACATTCAGTTTTGTTTTCTGAAGTGGCTTAAAAAATTGTTTTTTTTCTCCTCGCAGTGACATGTATTGGATTCAACGTAGTGCAGCAAATTCTTAGTTTGGGRGGTCATCAGAGTCAACCACCTGGTCATTAAAAAATACTGCTTCACTGAGCATCATTTGKTTTAATCTGTTTTATTTTCAACTAAAATAATTTGAGTGTCTTGCATCTCTTGTTTAACCTACATAATCTTGATTTTCAAAAAAAAAAAATCTAACCAGAAACCATTTACTGTAAACAGAAGTGCTGTAAAGCAAGTGTGATGATTAGTGACAAAAACCAGGTGTGCTGTTAAACTAACAAAACAAGGGAACAGACTGTGCAACTTAAATCAAGACCTGGAGTTGGCAAAATCACAAAAAAACAGTTTTAACAAAAATTGTAAGAAAACACTTAATAAAGCTTGAAAACCTAAAACTAAAACAGAACTCTGCAAACGTAACATTTATTTTTCAGGAGATTGCTAGTTTTAAAAATCCTCTGAATATTTTAAAATTAACCATATCATTAAGATAGGCTTGTATTTGATGTATTTCTTGTATTTGTACAGATTTGAATGTGACAGCAGACCAGCAGTATGATGCTTTACTGATGAGTAACATTGTCCCAATGTACCCTGACTTTAGAAGTAAGTTAAACACTACTACAAAGTATTTTTTTTTTCATTGTTGTATTAATTTGGTTTCTTTCTTTCTTTTTTCTCAGAGATCTGGGATTATTTCCACAACATCTTATTAAAGAAATATGCCTTTATATATAACGGCATTAATGTGGTGACTGGGCCTGTCTTTGATTACAACTATGATGGCCGATATGACACAAARGAGCAAATAAAGCAGTAAGATTTGTTTTTAATGGAGTAATGTTTCAAATAATTTTGAACTTAAAATAAACAAAAATATTAAATAACTGATATTTGGATTGTTGATTTGGTA